CCAGAAGCACCTCTAGTACCCCCAGCTCCAGCACCTCCAGCACCAGCAGCAGCTCCAGTACCTCCAGGCCTAGTAGCTCCAGTACCTCCAGCTCCAGGACCTCCAGAAAGACTCGCAGCACCCCCAGAGTCAGCACCCGAAGTCTCAGCACCCCCAGAGTCAGCACCCAAAGTCTCGGTACCCCCAGGCTCAGTACCCTCAGGCTCAGTACCCTCAGTCCCAGCACCCGCAGGCTCAGTGCCCTCAGTCCCAGCACCCGCAGGCTCAGTACTCTCAGTCCCAGCACCCGCAGGCTCAGTATGCTCAGTCCCAGCACCCGCAGGCTCAGTACGCTCAGTCTCAGCTCCAGTGTCCACTGCAGAAGGCTGCAGAGGCGGGAAACCGGGGGGGGGTAGCCAAACGAGGAGAGCAGTCACCCCCAGACGTACCACTCCTAGGCCCAGCTACAGCAGCCTCAGCTCCAGAGTCCACAGCAGCAGGCTGCGGAGGTGGCGAAGACGGCCGAGGCGGGAAACCCGGGGGGGTCTCCAAGCGAGGAGTGTGGCGAGTGGTCGCCGTGTCGTCGGCGACGGCGTCACCCCCCTCAGCTGAGTCAGAGGAGTCAGAAGAGATCTCAACTGGCTCATCCAAGGGGGGTGGGTCTAGCTGGGACACACCTGAGGGAGCAGGACCCTGTGGGGGAAGGGGGTCTACCGGGGGGGGGGACTGGTACCAGGAAGAGAGGCGCGAGGGGGACCGGGTGGGATGCGTGTGGGTGAAGTCGGTAGTAACAGACCGACTCGTCGAAGGTGACGTCCTGAGAGGACAGAACACGACGCGATGCAGGGTGGTAGAACTGCCAGGGTGGAGCGTCGGTGGGGAAGCCCAGGAAGACACAGCGGAGAGTGCAAGGAGAGAGCTTGCTCGCTTTGGTATCGCGAACAAGGGAGAGCGCGCCCCAGACCCGAAACGACGACGCATCACCAGGCTGTCCCGTCCAACGGAGTGTGGGCGAGGTCTCTGGAGCAGAGACACGGGGCCAGAGGTTGAGCTGATGCGCGGCGTATCGGACTGCAAACGGCCACAGGAAATGGGGAGCAGCCGCATGGATCATGGAGGTACGAGCAACCTCCATGATCAGGCCAATGCGACGCTCAGCGATCCCATTTTGCTGGAGTAGCAGCAGACTCACTAGCACCAAGAGCAGCAGTCTTAACAAAACGATAACCTCCACCACCATGACGACCTTGCTTAATAACCCACTCACGAAGCTGCTGAGAGGTGGGGTTGTCCGGGAGAAGCAGTGCCCGCTGCTGTCCACCCCTGACCGCAGCAACTGCCGCGGAAGTGGCCATGACTGACAGTGACAGTCAGGAGTAGGTCAAGCACCTCCAGCTCCTACAGCACCAGCATCACCTCCTGCACTCCCAGCAGCACCTCCACCACTCCCAGTAACACGAGTAGCAGCAGCAGCAGTAAGAGCAGGAAAGCGGCACGCGGCCAGAGCAGGGCGGCGCGCGGCCACAGCAGGGCAGTAGTAGGCAGTAGCTCCTAGGGCAGAAGCACCTAGCCCCCCCTTTTTTTTTTTTTTTTTTTAATAAACAATTTAATTATATTTAGGGTATAGCAGGGCGCTGGCGCAGGGCAGGGCGCGGGCGCAGGGCAGGGCGCTGGCGCAAGCTGCAGCAGTGCGTGACGCGAGGGGCAGCAGAGCGCGACGCGACGGGCTGCCTTAGGGCGCGACGCGCGGGCTGCAGCAAAGCGCGACGCGCGAGGCAGCAGCGCGCGACTCGTGGGCTGCGTTAGGGCGCGGGCTGCAGGGGCAGGACGCACGGGCTCCAGGGGCGGTGTGCGGGCTCCAAGGGCGATGCGCGGGCTGCAGGGGCCGCGCGGACGGGCTGCAGAGGCGACGCGCGGCTCGGCAGGTCCGCGCGCGAGCTGTAGGGGCGGCGCGAACGGGCCGCAGAGGCGGCGCGCGGGCTCCAGGGGCGACGCGCGGGCTGCAGGGGCCGCGTGGATGGGCTGCAGAGGCGACGCGCGGCTCGGTAGGTCTGCGCGCGGGCTGCAGGGGCAGCGTGAACGGGCTGAAGGGGCAGCGTGAACGGGCTGCAGGGGCAGCGTGAACGGGCTGCAGGGGCGACGTACGGGCTGCAGGAGCGACGTACGGGCTGCAGGGGCAGCACGCGGGCCACAGGGGCAGGCGCGGCTGCAGGGGCAGCACGGTAGCAGGGGCGAGCACGGCTGCAGGGGCAGCACGGTCGTAGGGGCGAGCACGGCTGCAGGGGCAGCGCGGTCGCAGGGGCAGCGCACGGGCTGCAAGGGTCGCGACAGTGAGAGCTAGGGGCGCCAGCGCACTGGCTACTGTGTAGGGCGTGGCGCTACCACTAGGCGGAACGGTGGGCCCATGTAGGAACGGTTCCTACTCTGATAACATGTCAAGAATAGAACTAGGAATGAATGATTCAACTAGGCAAGAGGTGAGTACAAGTAGGGGAAACCTAACCCTAAAGTGTTGTACTCACTAAGGAGTGACCCTACTGTAGCCTAGAGATACAATTGTAATCTGACAGGACATACATGATGTGACACCCTTATGCAAGTATGAAGCATATGAATTATAGATGAGCATGCTAACATAAGGTAGTTCAGAATTGTTTCCCAAGTAGCCCATTTGCATGAAAATTCCATGAACCGTTCCCAACCCATTTCCACATTCCCTCGGGTTTGTAGGTTCTGAGTGTGGTTTGTTGGAGTGCAAGTGAGTCCCGTTCGCAAATCCCCTCCCATCCCTGTCAAACCCTTTCCATCGCCTCGTAAACATATTAAACCTATTTGATTGAGGCTGTTCACTTCCAAAGTTTGTTTTGGCTGGAGGAATGGAAACCAATCACCTTCAACGAAAGCCACACGCCCAGCCTTCTGCTATCTCCAAAATCCGCCATGGTTGTAGTGGTGCTGCTGATGCTGGTAGTAGAAGCTCTCAACGGTGGTTTTCTTGTCGAAAAAGTGCCGCTGCCCGTGGTAGACGCTCCGTCCAGTTAAACTCGACGTAAAGGATCTAGTTTGATATCTCGTTTGTGTTAGCCTTCACTATCTATAGTAATGTTATAACGGGAACGATCACGCGCCGGATGTCTAGGCTTTCTGTCCGTTAGGTAGTCTTCTTGCTGATCTGACATGGAAACCGCGAAAATACTCAGCACTGGTCTCTCGTTAGACGATGCGACACTTCGCGAAAGTAACGCTGGTAACCACGCATTCGAGTCACTCGAACCAGAAACCCTAACACAGCCAGAGCACAGGCCAACACCTCCAGGCGAAATGCCAGCCGCGGAAACTCGTGCTGCGGAAATGCCAGCCGCGGAAACTCCTTCTGCGGAAATGCCATCCGCGGCGCGGAAACCAGCAGAAACGGTAGCAGCGGGTACTCCTGCTGAAACGATAGTAGCAGCGGCGGAGGCTGCGGAAGCTGTGGAGATGGGGGAACCCCGCGACGCGGCGGAAACCGGCGCCGCCGCGCAACTTGCGGAAGCGCCGGCGACTCCGCCATCCGCGGAAGCATTGGCGGAAGCATCCGCGACTGAGTTACCGCCGGAGACTGACAGAATACAAGGTCGAGGTAGTACCAGTGACCTTGGCGAGAAAGATGAGGGTAGTAACCCTGGCGTCGATCAAGGTCTAGGTCTATCTCAGTCTGTTTTCACTGCCCCTAGTACAAGTAGTACTGACGCCGCGATTCTCGCTCCGAAAGGGCCAATCACTGACACGCGAAACGGGCAAGACGCGGCGAATACGTCAGCGCGGCACCGCGAGCTGGTCGACGCGACGGGGCAGCTGCTGTTCCTCGCAAGCCGCGGCATAATCGAGGGGGTTATAGACCTATTGGATCGCGGCGTGAGTCCGGATCTGGCGGATTATGACGGGCGAACCGCGCTGCATCTGGCGGCGAGCGAAGGGAAGGTGGATGTGGTGCGGGTGCTGCTGGAGCGAGGCGCGGATGTGAACCCCAAGGACCGGCATGGCAACACGGTGAGAAGGGGTGCAGCATGGTGAGAGGGGATGCAGCACTTTTTGAGTCGACTCTAAAATCGCTGCATCTAACGGCGGGCTAAGGGAAGGTGGATGTGGTGCTGGTGCACCTGGCGCGAGGCGCGGATGTGAATTCCACGGATCGCCATGGCAACACGGTGAGAGGGGGTGCAGCACGGAAGCACGGTGAGAGGAATCTATGGTAAAGACCGTGAGAGGCGCATGGTAGGGCTTTGAGGCATTGCTCTCGGTGGGTTCGTTTTCCCCCCTGACACGGTGACTTCCCATCGTGGTGGCTTCACTTCATTATCTGGTGAACGGGATTGCACCATCGTGACGTCACATTGTACTCTACACTATTCTCTGGCATCATAATATTCTTGTTCTGCCATGGAATGGGATGGAATGGCATGGGATGCGATGGCATGGCATGGCATGGCATGGCATGTCATGTCATGGGATGGGATGGCATGGTATGGCATGGCATGGCATGGGATGGCATGACATGGTACGGGATGGCATGGAGTGGGATAGCATGGAATGGGATGGCATGGCGTGGGGTGAGGTGGGGTGAGGTGGGGCGAGGTGGGGTGGGGTGGGGTGGGATGGGATGGGATGGGATGGGATGGGATGGGATGGGATGGGATGGGATGGGATGGGATGGGATGGGATGGGATGATATGGGATGGGATGGGATGGGATGGGATGGGATGGGATGGGATGGGATGGGATGGGATGGGATGGGATGGGATGGGATGGGATGGGATTGGTTGGGATTGGAAGGGATGAGATGGCATGGCATGTTATGGCATGGCATGGGATGGCACGGCATGGGATGGCACGGCATGGGATGGCATATGGGATAGGACGGGATGGCATGACACGAGATGGCATGGCATGTTATGGCATGGCGTGGGATGGCACGGCATGGCATGGCGGCCATTGCCCCCTCCTTCCCGCCTACCCCCTCACCCCCCCCTTTTCCCTGGCAGCCTTTGGCTGATGCGCAGTCGTACGGGTCCGGGGAGATCTGCCGCCTGCTCAAGGAGAAGGGCGGCATGCTCTGTGAGGTGAGGGGGGCAGGGGGGCATGTGCTGTGAGGTGCGCGGGAGGAGGGGTGATGTAGAGGAAAGGGGGACCCGGGCGGAAAGAGGGGGGCGGGGGAATTTAGAGGAAAGGGGAACCCGGGGGGAGAGAGAGGGGGGGGGAATGTAGAGGAAAGCAGCAAGGGGGGCGAGGAGGAGCATGAAGGCTCGGCAGCATCCGATGCTTGCTTTCCTCTCCCTTGCCCCCTTGCCCCCCCTAGTCCACGGTCCACTAACTAGCAAAGCATCCCCTTGTTCCTCCCTGTCCCTCCTTTGAAGCTCCCTTTCACGTTCCCCTTTGACCTCCTATGCTCCATGCACTCTTCATTCCCTGTCTGCCTCCCGTCTCCTTTGCCCGCTGAGTCTTTATCCACTGACAAACGAAACGTTTTTCCTCACCCCCCAACCCAACCCCCACCCCCCTCCATCTCCCTCCCCCCTCCCCGCTCCCACCCGCCCCTCCCCCTCCCCTCTCTCTCTCCTTCCCCATCCCCGTCCCCACTATACCTTCCTCCCGCGTTTTCGTTGTCGCTCCTGCATTTCTCATAATGATCCCATTGTCCCGCTTTCGTTTCAGTGAGTCCTACATTGTAAATCCTTGAAATCACTTTTGAGAATTCCAGAAAGAGCTATTCCTCCAACGAACATCACAATCGAGCCCCTACTTACGCCGGTAGTCATCCCAGCTTCGTATCCCCCCCCACACCCCCCCCCCCCCCCTAACCCCCCCCTTTTCCTCCTCCCTCCCCTTTCCCTCCCTCTCTCCCCGTTCCCTCCCTCTCTCCCCATTCCCTCCCCCTCTCCCCATTCCTTCCATCTCTCCCCATCCCTCCGTCTCTCCTGATTCCCTCCCGCCTTCCTTTCCTCCCTCCCGCCCTCCCTCCTCCCCTCACCCCACCCCTCTCAGAGTGCGCAATGCAGCAGCAAGCTTGTTCAACCAGCACGACTCCCCTCTCCCCCCACCGGTTCCCCCTCCCCCCCGCCCCCGCCCCCCCTCCCCCCCGCCTCCCCCACTTCCCCCCTCCCTCCTCGTATCAGAGTGCGCGCATGCGCAATGCAGCATCCAACTCGTTCAATCAGCACGACTACGAGATTGACGGCAGTGAGATCGACCTGGGCACGTCCAAAGTCATTGGCGAGGTGCGCAGGGGTGGGAGGGGTTGTTGGGGGGGGAGGGGGTGTATGGGGGGATGAGCAGGGGAAAAGGGAGGGGTGTGAAGGGGGGGGAATGGGGGGCACGTGTGTCAGATAGTCACCTTGTTCAACCAACACGATGGCAGTGAGATGAGATGAGATGAGATGAGATGAGATGAGATGAGATTCTTTTATCACAAGGTGAGCAAGCGGAGGGCGGGCGAGAGGGACGGGCGAGGCGAGGAAGGTGAGGGAGGTGCGGCGTGAGGAGCAGGGAGAGGGGATGCTGGAAGTGGGTGAGCGAGATGAGGAGGATGAGCAGGGGGGTAGGGCCGAGAGGAGAGTAAGGGGCAGGGAGAGAGGGAGTGAGCTACGGTTGGCGAGTTGGGTAGGCACACTCATCGCTGTGAAGGTGCTTTAAGAGAATACCCGTCCCTTTATTCCCCTACTCCCCTTCCCCTTTTCCCCTTCCCATCCTCTCCTCCCCGTCCCCTGCTCCCTTTCCCCTTCTCCCCTTCCCCTCCTCCCCTTCCCCTGCTCCCCTTCCCCTGCTCCGCTTCCCCTCCTCCCCTTCCCCTCCTCCCCTTCCCCTCCTCCCCTTCCCCTGCTCCCCTTCCCCTCCTCCCCTTCCCCTCCTCCCCTTCCCCTCCTCCCCTTCCCCTGCTCCCCTTCCCCTCCTCCCCTTCCCCTCCTCCCCTTCCCCTCCTCCCCTTCCCCTGCTCCCCTTCCCCTCCTCCCCTTCCCCTCCTCCCCTTCCCCTCCTCCCCTTCCCCTGCTCCCCTTCCCCTGCTCCCCTTCCCCTCCTCCCCTTCCCCTCCTCCCCTTCCCCTGCTCCCCTTCCCCTCCTCCCCTTCCCCTCCTCCCCTTCCCCTCCTCCCCTTCCCCTGCTCCCCTTCCCCTCCTCCCCGTCCCCTGCTCCCTTTCCCCTTCTCCCCTTCCCCTCCTCCCCTTCCCCTCCTCCCCTTCCCCTGCTCCCCTTCCCCTCCTCCCCTTCCCCTCCTCCCCTTCCCCTCCTCCCCTTCCCCTTCTCCCCTTCCCCTCCTCCCCTTCGCCTGCTCTCCACCATGCCAGGGGTCGTTTGGGGAGGTACGCCTGGCGAGTTGGAGGGGCACGCCCATCGCTGTCAAGGTGCTGCGAGATGAATACGCTGCCAACCCTGCTGCTCTGTAAGCCAGCTCACTTCGCTGTCTCACTTCGCTGTTCCCCTGCCACTCTGTATGTAAGATGTAGACATGTGTGTTTTTTTTTTTTTTGAATTTGTATCGACAAAATAAAACTCGTCCCCCTACTCCGCGCCCGCGCTGCCCGCCCCCCCCTCCCCATCCCCCTTGGTTCGCAGCAACGAGTGGGGCACGGAGGCAAGAGCTGCGCTTCCTGCAATCGCTGCGCCACTTAAAAACCCGCCCCCCTGCCTCCGTCCCCCCCTTTGCCTGCCCCCCCCCCCCGTGCCCGCCCCCCACCCCCATGCGTGCAGCAACTAGTTCCGGCAGGAGCTGCGCATTCTGCAATCGCTGCGCCACCCCAACATAGTGCAGTTCCTGGGAGCCGTCGGCCCGTCACCGACTCTCACCCGTCCCCCCACCTCCGTCCGTGCCCCCCTGCCCGTCTTCCTCCCCACCCACCATGCTTCCAGCAACGAGTTCCGACAAGAGCTGCGCATTCTGCAGTCGCTGCGCCACCCCAACATCGTGCATCTTGAATCCACTCAAAAACCCGTCCCCTCACCTCCGCTCCCCCCGTGCCCGCCCCCCCTGCCCTCCCCCCTTGCCCAACCCCCATGCATGCAGCAACGAGTTCAGACAAGAGCTGCGCATCCTGCAGTCGCTGCGCCACCCCAACATCGTGCAGTTTTTGGGCGCCGTCACCAAGTCCCGCCCGCGCATGATCGTCACAGAATACCTCAAGGTGAGGTGGGGCATGCTTGGCTTTAAGTGCCTCTCACCTCACCGTCACCAGGTCGCACCTGCACATGATTGTTACAGAGTACCTCAAGGTGAGGTCGGGTTGCTTGCTTTAAGTTGAAAAAAAAAAAAAAAAAAATTATATATATATATATACCCCCCCTTGTATGATCTCCCCTCCTCTGTGCTCGACCCTGTCAGGTGAATCTGAGGGACATTATTTGCAGCAAGGGCACTCTGCCTGCCCCATCCACCCCTTCCCCCATCCGACCCATCCACACCTTCCCCCATGCGCCCCCTTCCCCCATCCGCCCCTTCCGCCCCTTCCCCCATCCGCCCCTTCCGCCCCTTCCCCCATCCGCCCCTTCCGCCCCTTCCCCCATCCGCCCCTTCCGCCCCTTCGCCCATCCCCCTTCCGCCCCTTCCCCCATCCGCCCCTTCCGCCCCTTCCCCCATCCGCCCATTCCGCCCCTCCCCCCATCCGCCCCTTCCCCCATGCCCCCTTCCCCCATGCGCCCCTCCCCCATGCGCCCCTCCCCCATGCGCCCCTCCCCCACGCGCCCCTCCCCCCATGCGTCCCCCTGTCAGGTCAATCTGAGGGACATAATTTGCAGGAAGGGCGCTCTGCCTGCCCCGTCCCCCAATGCCCCCCTCCCCATGCGCCCCCCTCCTCATGCGCCCCCCTCCTCATGCGCACCCCTCCTCATGCGCACCCCTCCCCATGCGGCCCCCTCCCCTTGTGCCCACCTCCCCATGCGCCCACCTCCCCATGCGCCCCCCTCCCCATGCGCCCCCCTCCCCATGCGCCCCCCTCCCCATGTGCCCCCCTCCCCATGCGCCCCCCTCCCCATGCGCCCCCCTCCCCATGCGCCCCCCTCCCCATGCGCCCCCTTCCCCCCGCCCCCTTCTCCCTCCCCACCCCCATCCCACAGGTGAATCTGAGGGATGTCATTCGCAAAAAGGGCGCTCTGCCGGCCCATGAAGCACTACCCCCCCCTCTTCTTTGTGCCCCCCAATGCGGCCCCCTGCCCCCCGCCTCCCCCCCACACAGGTGAATCTGAGGGATGTCATTCGCAAGAAGGGCGCTCTGCCCGCTCACGAAGCACTGCGCTACGCCCTTGACGTTGCCAGGTGGGTGCGTCGTCGATGTTCCAAGGTACCCCTTTGGTTTGGGGTTGACTCAGAAGCACCGCGCTATGCCCTTGATGTTGCCGCCTCCTGTGCAAACTGTTGCTTTCCCTCCTCTCTCTCCACCATACCCCATCCGTTTGAGGCGCCTCAAAAGCAGACTCCTGTGCAGACTGTTGCTTTGGTGACTTTTGAGTCGACTCAAAAGTCAGTCGGTTGCTTTCCCTCCTCTCTCTCCACCACACCCCATCCATACAACCCCCTGCCCACCAATTTCTCTCGCCCTCTACAATCACCCTCCCCTCCTCTGCACTCCTCTCCTTCCCTCTCGTCTCTCGTCTCCCCTCCTCCCCTCTCCTTCCCTCCCATCTCCCCCATTTTCCCCATCTCCCCCGTCTCCCATTGCCCCAATCCCTCCCCCTCCCCCAGAGGCATGTGCTATCTGCACGCGCACCGGCCAGACCCCGTCATTCACCGCGACCTCACGCCCAGGTATTCTATAGGGCAAGCCTGAGGGGGGTGGGGGAGGGAAGTGAGTGAACGGAGAGGGGGGGGTGCGGGGGGAAAGTGAGTGAAGGGGATGGGGGGGGTGGGGGGGGAGAATGAGTGAACGGGGGGGGGGGGGGGGGGTGTTGTGAGTGAGGGGGTGGGATGAGTTTGGAGGCACACCAAGGAACAGCCCTGTCACTTTTCTCTACGTCCCTCTTTCCCTCATTCCCCCCTTCTTGCCGTTTCCCCTTTCCCCCCTTCTTGCCTTACCCCCTTCCCCTTTCCCTTGCCGCCTTTTCCCCCTTGGTTCTTCTTCCCCACACAGCTTCCCACAGGCAGCAATCTCCTGTGCGACAACTCAGGCCATTTTTTGAGAATTCTCAAAGGCAATCTCCTGTGGGGCAACTCAAACCATCTCAAGGTGGCACATTTTGGTCTCTATTTAATCTCTGAAAGTTTGTCGTCTACTTACTCTCCCTTCCCTTTTCCCGCCTTCCTGCCTTTTCCCCTCTTTCTCCCTTCCCCCCTTGTCTCCCTTTCCCCCTCCCCCCCCCCTCCACACACTGCCAGCAATCTCCTGCGGGACGACTCAGGGCATCTCAAGTCGCGGATTTTGTACTAACCTCAGTGTCTCTTCCCTCCCGTTTCCATGTCGCTTCCCCCGTGCCCATTTCCGTTTCCCCCTTTTCCAACGCACTGCCAGCAATCTCCTGCGGGACGACTCGGGCCATCTCAAGGTGGCGGATTTTGGCCTGGCAAGCATCCGAGCCACTGCTGCTGCTCCACCCAGTTCCTCCCTGGGCACAGGGATGGGCCTAGGCATGGGGGCCACAAACATTGTTTCGCTCTTCCAGCCCAATTTCTCTCGCCGCCTCACCTTTTCCAAACACAGCCACCGTAAGCAACCCTCAGAATTTGCAACCCTTTGCAACCCATGGGCATGGGCCTAGGCACAGGGATGGGCCTGGGCATGATCTTGGGCATGGGCATGGGCATGGGCATGGGCATGGGCATGATCTTGGGCATGGGCATGGGCATGGGGATGGGATGGGCATGGGGATGGGGATGGGCATGGGGATGGGCATGGGGATGGGCCTAGGCATGGGGATGGGGGGCACGAACATTGTCTCACTCTTCCAGCCCAACTTCTCTCGCCGGCTTACCTTCTCCAAACGCAGCCACTGTAAGCAACCCTCAGCATTTGCAACCCTTTAAATACAGCCCTTTGAATCCTTTCCATCCCCTCCCATCTCCTCCCAGTCCCCCCTCCCGCCCTCTCCCACCCCCTACAAGCCCCATGTGTAATTTCTGATATATTTTTTTCTCTCATTCTTCGTTTTTCTCTGTTCTTTTCTTTCGCTCCCTTTTCTTTCCTCTGTTCTCTGTCTCTCAAATTTGTTAACATAAAATTTATCCTTTTGTGCCCTTTTCTTTTCCGGAAAAAAAAAAAAAAAAAAAAACAAGAAGAGGAAAAAATAACGAAACAATTTTCGTTCCTTCTCTTTTGATGATTCTCCATTCCTCTCCACTCTTGTATCCTTCTCCCACCCCCATCCGCCCGGCACTACATCGCAGGTCTTTATTCGGCACCAGAGTTGTTGGCACAGCAAGAGTACGACAAGAGTGTCGATGTATACTCATTTGGAGTCATTTTATTTGAGGTACAGTGAACACTCGTTTGTAGTCATTCTGTTTGACAGTATGTACTCAATTGCAATCATTTAGTTTGTGTTTGGGGTACTCTGTGTGTGCTCGTTAGAATTCATTTTAAGAGTTTTTCTTGTTAGGATTTAGTGTTGCTCATTTGGAGTCTTTCTCATTTGAGGTAACAGTGTGCACGTAATGACAGTCATCCTCTTGAGGTGTTTCGTTTGCACATATTTTGTGTAAACCCCATCAATCAGTGTGTGCTATGTTTCCTTCCCGTTTTCTTCTCATGTCAAATTTACAAATCTCGTATACCAGTCAAGTCAACCTCCTCCTTCCACTCACACTCTCACCTCCACCTCCTCAGATGTTTGAAGGATATGACCGAATTCGCCAGTTGCTACCCGGTGGAACCAACCACGGGGGGAATCTTTTCCCGCTGGCACTTAGCAGCAGCGGCCACAGCTACGCGGATGGGGGAGCAGAGGGGGGAGCAGGGGGAAGCCACCACAGCGGAGGGGGGAGTCACCATGGAGGGGGGAGCTTGAGGGGTGGGGGGTTGTTCAGGGGGGGGAGTGCGGGGGAGAGAAGCAAGGAGGTTGCTGCCAGTGGTGGTGGTGCAGCTGCTGTTGGTGGTTCTGCTGGTGCTGCTAATGATGCTAGTAGTGCTGCTGCTGCTGGTGCTGGTGGGAGAGGGAGTGAGGGGGAGGCAGCACCGGAAGCAGCAAGGCCGCCTGACATTGCTCCTCCTGTCTTCACCAGACGAACGTACCCCATGGGGATGAAGGAGTGAGTGCGGCATGTGTGTGCTGCATGTGTGCGCTGTGTCTCATGGGTGTGTCGCATGGGTGTGCTGCATGGGTGTGTCGCATGGTTGTGTCGCATGGGTTTGTCGCATGGGTGTGTCGCATGGGTGGGTTGCATGGGTGTGTCGTGTGGGTGTGTCGCATGGGTGTGCCGCATGGGTGTGTTGCATGGGTTTGTCGCATGGGTGTGTCGCATGGGCGTGTCGCATGGGTGTGCCGCATGGGTATGCCCTGCTGCTGATCGTACCACAAAACATGCTCCCTCTGAGGCACCTCACAACCAGTTCCGCCATTCCCATCATTACTCACCTTCCTGCCTTCGCCGTGTGCATACGACGACTTGTTCTCTCACCTGCACGACCCGTGAACCCTAAAGCCTGTTGTCTCCCTCCCTCCCCCCACCATGCCCCCCCAAATTCCCTCCCCCTTTTCCCCCATCTCCTTTCCTCCCCACTACCAGGCTGATAACAGATTGCAGGAGTGGAGATCCGGCAGTAAGGCCTTCCTTTGCACGCATTATAGAGATACTGGAGCAGATTCAAGAGGAGATGAACCCCACAGGGAAAAGGTCAAACGCTAAGGCATCTGGCCATGCGTGCTGTACAGTCTTGTAACGATGTAACCGTGCGGCATCACAGCTTTGTGTTGCGTTCCATTCCCGTGTTTGTTGTAGCATTGTTAGTGTGGCAGCAATGGGTGTAGCATTGTTTGTTAGTGTGGCAAGCAATGGGTGTAGCATAGTTAGTGTGGCAGCAATGGGTGTAGTGTAGCATTTCTAGTACCGTATGGCAGAAATGGCGCGGATAGCATTTACGGTAACATAGAGCCCTGCCATTGCATAGTGCAAATGTAAGCACTCGCAAATACAGAGAGCCAAGAGAGTCAGCCACAATTGATTCGATAACCACAGCCATGCATCAACCTCAAGATTATGCCAAGTGTCAAATAGACCCTAGGGTCTATGAACGGGTTACATTACCGTACATACACTACTTCGAAACTCGAAATACCTTGTACGGTATGTAACTGCACAATTAGAATACAGCAGCTCTTTTGCGAAACAGAAACAAACCTTCTTTCTAAGATGCGCCCTCCAGCCACAACTGCAGCTCTTTCTGCACGTCAACGCCTACAAATTTTGAAACCTGAATGGTGTTGGCACCACCTAAAAAATGCTCACACCTTCTGAGACGTCTCAAAAGTCCTCCAGCCGCGACTGCAGCTCTTTCTGCACGCCAGCGCTACCAAGTCCGCTGCTGGCCCTTCCGAGAAACGCAAGCTGCTGCTGCCGGAATCAACGGGCCAAGGCAATGGGCCAGACAGTTCCTGTTCTGCTGCAGGAAATTTTCCAGTCGACTCAAAAACTACTTCCAGAATCAACAGGCAAATGTGTTCCTGCTGGGCCAACGAGCCAAACAATTTCTGGTCGGCTGTGGTCGGCAACCGTGCAAGCTGAATTGGATGCACCGGATGAGCCGGGCTCCGGATGGGCTGGCTGAGTTTTGCGCATTGAATGTACGCGTCAGAGGGCTTTGATCTCTGGGCTCGGAGTTGCTTGATTTTCCGACCCTGCTGCACGTTGAAGGGCTTGGCATGGTTGTTCCCTGCTGCATGCGTGTTCACTGCTGCATGGGTGTTCCCTGCTGCATGGGTGTTCCCTGCTGCATGGGTGTGCCCTGCTGTATGGATGTGCTCACTGTTGACGGGAGTTGGCCCCGCCCTCGCTTGGGCGAAGCCGACTTCGTGGTCGGGTGCGTGTCAGAATATATTTCTGTATAACTGCATTTAGTTCGAGCTGTAGTGTAGTTATATTGCTGTCCTGTTAGGTGGTGCACCCTTTGGCTTGCTATAACTTGTAACTCTTCTCATAGTGAACATCATTCTCGTTCTACTTTTGGTTATCACCCTCGACCTTCCTCTCGCTACTCTCATCCTAGCAAAACCCTAGGCTATTAAGTCTACTAAGTCAAGCACCTAATTTAACATGGTATCAGAGCTGGTCCTTCCCAGGACCTAACTTTCATGGGCCCACCAGTCGTGCTGCCCGTCATGCAGCGCCCCTGCCCGTCACGCGCCCCGAGTGCGTGGCGGTTTCTGCCCGTCGCACGCCCCGGGCGTGTGGCGGTTTCTGCCCGTCGCACGCCCCGGGCGTGCGTCGGTTTCTGCCCGTCGCGCGCCCCCAGCACGCGACGGTGTTCTGCCCGTCGCTCGCCCCCAGCGTGCGACGGCTTTCTGGCCGTCGCGCGGGGGCCCCGTCGCAGTGCTTCCCGTCGTCCCCGCCGCCCGCTTCCTCCTCCCTCTCCTGCTTCGCGTGCAGCAGTTTGGGGAGGGGGGGGGGGGGGGGGGGGGGGAGGGTGTTGGGGGGACGCAGGAGTGGCGGTGGGGGGTGGTTACACCTCCAGCGCCCCGCTGCTCTGCTTCGTCACCAAGCCAGCAGCCCCCCCCCTCCGCCTCTACCTTTCCCCCCCTGCTGCTCCTACTGCAGCGGCGGTTTCTGCCCGGCGCCTCGTGCGCCTCTGCCCGGCGCCTCGTGCGCCCTGCCCGCCCGCGCCCGCCCCACCAGATCGCGCACCTTGCCCCCCCTCCCTTCTCTGCCCTCTCCCTACTGCGTGTGCAGCAGTTTGGGGGGAGGGGGAGGTGGTGTAAGGGGGAGGTGGCATCAACAGCACCACCCTCCTCTTCTCTCTTTCAGGGCCGCACTTGCTGCTGTGGGGGGGGAGGGTGGAGAGGGTGGAGTGGTGGGTGTGGCGGGAGGAGCTACTGCCGCTGCCGCTCGCCTTCCCCTCTCTCTCCCTGCTGCGCGTGCAACAGTGGGGGGGGGTGGGTTTAGGTTGGCGGGTGTGAGCACCCAGCTGCCGCCCCTCCTCCTCTCTCTCTCTCTCACTGCCGCACGTGCCGCTGTGGGGGGGAGGGTGAGGGGGTGACGGGCTTCTGGCCACCGTGTGAAGGCTTGAGCAGGGACCACCGTGGGTGGGGAAGGCGTTGGAGGAAGGTTGGGCGGGAAGGCGTGAGGTTCCAGGGGGCGGTTGACAAGGGGGGTAAGGTTGAGGGGTGTGGCTTTGGGGGTTCGTAAGAGGGGTTCGCCGCTTGGCTCCCCCACCTCCTCTCCTCATCCCTCTCTCACCCCCCCCCTTTGTAAAGAGGGGGTTCGTAAGAGGGGCTCGCCGCGTGGCTCCCCCCACCTCCTCTCCTCATCCCTCTCTCACCCCCCCCTTTGTAAAACGGGGGTTCGTAAGAGGGGCTCGCCGCTTGGCTCCCCCACCTCCTCTCCTCATTCCTCTCCTCTCCCCTCTCTCTCTCTCGTCTCCTCCTCCTTGCATTCCTCTCTGTTGTCTTCCGTTGCGCAGGGTGTACCCCTTCAGGGGGTGTTATGCACATGGCTATTCCTGCATGCAGTTAGGGGGTGTGTAAGAATATATTTCTGTATAACTTGCATGTAGTTCTAGCTGTAGTGTAGTTATATTGCTGTCCTATTATGTGTTGCATCCTTTGGCTTGCTATAACTTGTAACTCTTCTCATAGTGAACATCATTCTCGTTCCACTTTTGATTATCACCCTCGACCTTCCTCTAGCTAAACCCTAGGCTACTAAGTCTACTAAGTCAAGCACCTAACTTAACAGTGCGCAGGAGGTGCAGCCGACTTGGGCGAGCAGGTCGACGAAGTTGGTCGACCTGCGCGGAACCACTGCGAAACCGCCAATGAAGAAGATCGGTGGCCGACTTTGGCCTGGGTGGTCGACGATCGAGTTCGTCGACCTATGGGGACGCCGACGTAGGAAAGTCGGCGGACGGTGTCGACCAGGGCGGTCGACGAGCATGTGCAGCAGTTGGCGGGCTCCTACCGCCCGCCAGGGCGTCGCCGACTTCGGAGCCGGTCAACCAAATAACCTGGGCGTCGGAAGTGGTGGTCAAGCAGGCCCTGGCCGACGAGCCGGTCGACCAAATGACCTCGATGTGACCTGGCCGACGAGCCCGTCGAGAGGTGCTGCTTGACGGAGCAGCGTCGAACTGGTCGACCGAAGCTGCTCGGCTGCGATACTTGGCAGGCGTGCGAATTTCACCTCGAAGGCGTTGGCGAAGTCTGCCTACGGACTGGTATCCCGAGGTCGACGTGGAGCATCTGGCGCGATCGTCGGCACGTGGCCGACTCGGTGCCTACGCGACGGGCGGGATAAGGCATAACGTGCTCAACCGCCTACAAGCACCTGCGAAGCGGGTGCGCGCGTGCGTTATTGCCATCTGCGCCTACAACGCTGGCTAGCCACTCTGCTGCAGCGTTGGCAAGCCGCGCAGATGCAGCGCTGGCAGGTCGTCGACTTGCAAAGTTGGCAAGCAGCCTCCCAGCTGCGTTGGCAGACCGTCAACCTGCTCTGCTGGCAGGTCGCCCCGTTGCTGCGCTGGAGGTCGCTAGGCAGCTACACTGAACGAAATTTTTGTCCACATGCACTAAAATCAAGAAATGAATGTGCATTAGTAGCTATTGGGTTTAAGCCTTAATAACAGGGCGCCATAAGGTTAAAGCTCGGAGTGTTGTACATCGAAGGACGTGGCGTCTAGGCCCTAAACTCGGTTGAACAATCAGCGGATATAGAATTAGGCAAATACTAGAATATGGACAGATTTTTACAAATACAGTCACACATGCAAACCAAGCAGAATCCAGTACTTGGTCCAGCGACCCTTGGCCTTGAGCACAGCCCGCACACGCCTAGGCATGCTGTCGATCAGCTCACTGCACCAGGCCGCTGGGATTTTCTCCCATTCCACTTGAACTCTGTCCCATAGCTCGAGAATGCCTGCAGGGGGGCGGGGGTAAGCAAGCAGCTGCTTCTTCAAGTAAACCCACAGATGTTCTATGGGGTTGAGGTCCGGACTAGATGCTGGCCATGGGAGAACAGAGTACCGCTGCTCGGCTAGGTAAGTTTTGACCATCTTGCATGTATGCTTGGGGTCGTTGTCATGCTGGAACACAACTGTTTCGGGATCCAGCTCGTAATGCTCGATAGTCTGCTGAAGCTCGTCTTGCAAGATTGAACGGTATAACTCCCCGTTCATTCTTCCCTCTATCTTGCACATAAAACCCGCGCCGTTGTATGTCATGCACCCCCAAATCATGATGGAGCCGCCGCCATGTTTGACGGTCTGTTTCACATGGTGCGGCTCCATGTGACAGTCCTGTCTAATCCAGGCCCAACTACGTCCGTCGCTACTAAACCGGCAGATCTTCGTTTCGTCGCTCCAAACCACGCGTTTCCAGTCGTCGATCGTCCAGTGCTGATGGTCCTTGGCCCACTGCCTGCGGTCCTTGACATTTTTCTCGGATAATCTAGGCTTCGACGGCTTTTCAATCGCCCTAACTCTGTGCCGCTTGAGAGTGTTTCGAATGGTGGCGCCAGTCACATTGATGCCATGCGTAGAAGCTATCATTCCCGCTGCGGCCTCGGCGGATTTCGATTCACCAGAAACTGAGAAGATTTGAACAAGAATGAATGAACTATGAAATGAAGTGAGTACAAATATGAAACCCTAATTGGTTGTACCCCCTATGGGATACCCCACTATAGCCTACACAACAGCATAAGCTATAATGTTCTGACACACCCCCATAGGCAAAGTGGGGGAGAACAAGGGGTCACAAGACCAGTCAAGCAAAGTAAAGCAAAGCAAGCTCAGGGTGGATCACAAAGTCACCACACAGTCCGAGCACAGGGTCAAGGCCACACGGCCAGTTCACATGCAAGAGTACACACATATATATAAAGCTAGACAAGCAAGAGCAGATATATATATATGTGAGAGTACAGGCAAGGTCAAGAGGAGAGCAAGTGAGGCAAGATGGGCACAAGACCCAGCTGAGTGCAGAAGCGCTGATGATCACAAGGCGGAAGTGCCTTGGTGAAGACATCAGCAGTGTTGGCCTCAGAGGCCACGTACGCAAGCCGCAACTGACCACGTTGCTGTAGCTCACGAGCAAGGAAGTAGCGGAGAGCAATGTGCTTTGTTCTGTGCTCCAGTCGCTGCTCTCGACACAAGGCCAGCATGGCCTTGTTGTCTACGTACAGGACTGGAGGAGAACGAGGCGGCTCTCCAAGGTCGGTCAGCAGGTAGGTGAGCCAGCGAAGCTCCTGTGCAGCCATGGCCCCGGCGTAGATCTCAGCCTCACAACTCGAGCCAAGAACAGAAGACGAGCGAGTAGCCCGCCACGAAACAGAGCCGGAACCAAGGCTGAAGGTGTAACCCTGTGACGACCGCTGCGTAGCCTGGTCGTCAGCCCAAGAAGCGTCCGCGTGCCCAGTGAGGACCACTGGACTCCGCCCTCCAAGCACTAGCCCCATGCCCGACGTACTGCACAAGTAGCGCAACACCCTCTTCGCTGCAGCCATGTGCTCTGGTCTGTGTCTCCCAGGAGCAACATAGCGTGCCAGAATGCTAAGAGGGTATGCAAGGTCAGGTCGTGTGCAGGTCATCAGGTACATGAGGCAGCCAACAAGCTCTGGGTACGGGCCACTCGACTCTACGGACTCATCCGAAGGCAGAGCTGAGAGCGAGTGGCGAGTAGACAGAGGAGTGGCCTGAGGCGAGGAGTACGTGAAGCCGAAGCGCTGAAGGACCTGCTGCACCATGTGTGACTGAGTCAGGGTAATGGTGCGGCGTGCTCTGTCCCGGGTGATCTGCAAGCCAAGGTAGCTGCGCAGTTCACCCAGGTCTGTGCACGTGTGTCTCTTCTGCAGCTCGGACTTCACGTAGGCGAGTCCAGCAGTGTCAGCTGTGGCAAAGACCAAGTCGTCGACGTACACGAGGATGTAGAACGGCGGCAGAGAGGTGTCGGTGCGTAGAAACAGCGACGGGTCGGCAGTAGAAGGAGCAAACCCAAGAGCCGCAAGTGTAGTCCTCAGTGTGTCGTGCCACTCACGTGGCGCCTGGCGGAGACCGTAGACTGGACGCCGGAGACTCCACTGGGTACCAGAAGGGAAAGACCCAGTGAAGCAGAAGGGCGACGCAGCCAGATCTCCTCGTGCAGGCTGCCCTGCAAGAAAGCTGTGCTGAAGTCAAGAGAGTGCAGCTCGTAGTCACGGTGAGCAGCAACGTGCAGCAGTACCCGAAGAGTGGTCATCTTCGGGGTGGGGGAGAAGGTCTGAAAGTAGTCAACTCCCTGCCGCTGACTGAAGCCACGAGCCACGTAACGCGCCTTGAAGACAGGCGGAGAACCCGGCGGCCGCTTCACCCTGAAGATCCACATGCCACTGACGATGTTCGCCCCAGGAGGGGGGACAGCGTCAACGTAGGTGCCTGTGGACTTCCAGGAAGCCATCTCTGCATCCATAGCTGCCTGCCACTGAGAGGAGTAGGGACCCTCTATCGCCTCCGCGTAAGAGCGCGGAGTCGGGATGTCAAGTGCATCCGGGTCTCCCTCAGGGGTAAGCAGTACGGACACGAGATGAGGTGAGGCAGCTGCCAGACACTGGAACTCCTCCTGCCTGTCCTCAAGGACGTCCGTGCCAAGGGCACACTCACCCCCGACGGACGGAGGACAGACAGACTCAGACTCAGCGACAAGACTAGCAGCGTAGTCTAAGCGACAGCGAGCAGCAAAGTCGACGAGCTCAGTAACTAGAGCAGACGCAGCAGTAGACTCGAAAGAAG